AACGGATAGCATATGTAACTCGAAGAGAAAATAAAGACATAATCGAGATGCTGACATTCCATATTACTCCAATTAAAAGCTTGGAAATGAAACTTCCATCAGTACTGAAAAGAGCTATAACAGTTACTGGACTTGAGAAACCTATTTTTCTGGACAATTGTTTTAAGAGAAAGATTTGATGAATTCTTAGCCGAAATCAGTACTGGCTGCTCGGTCAATGAATGTCAAATTTTTCTTAGAAGAAAACATCTAATTACCTTTACTATACAAACATACTGAAATCAGAATTTTAGAGTTAAATAAAACTATTTGCCAAAAAAGAATAATTTAATCAGGGAAATTACGATTAACATTTTATATGGCTGGAATTATCTCCCTTTGAGGAATTGTGTCATTACATTAGGTTGTTACATATATTCGTTCGTTTTTTTTCTGGTGTTCTGTGAATAATCGTGAAGAATAATCTTTCGTGGCATATTTTGTTTCTTCGTAACTCTGGTCATCAAGTGAAACTGTTTGTTAGACATTTTCATGACGGTCGTCTTCGAGTATAGAATCCAGAGGTTGGCAGTGAATATTTTGAAGACAGTAGGAAAGCGTAGTGCAGGTTCGCAGTGGATATCGCAGCAAAGTAGCAGAGCGTAGTTCTTCCGTCTGTCCTGTTCGCCGGACAAGTTGCCTCCGGTCATTCCGATAGGAAAACAAAGATGGCCGCCTTTATACACAACGGATACAGAGTTTAGCGGCTTCTGATTGGTCAACCTTCTATTGGTAGACTATAAAGGGAAATAAGTCATTTTGACTCGCTCACTAGTTATGTATAGTATATACCCAAAAAACCGTAACACTGTTGGCTAACGTTAATGGAATTATATTTCAGATTAGACACCCACTTTGAGATGGAATGCCAAGTCGACAAGAATGAGCATGTCCGACGTCTTCTCTTTGCTTTTAACCAAGATCGCAAAGCTGTCAAAATTGTTCGCGACATTTTTATTGTGTACAGAGATGACTTCATTACCCACAGAAGGGCATATAAATGTTTTATTTTGCCTCGTTTCAAGGGAGGAAAGTTTGAAATCACAGACTCTCCGAGTTCTGTCCAACTTTTTAATTTTGACGAGAACCAATTGCACGCGATAAAATGACGACAATGGAGGGTCGCTAGAGTTTTGTCTCTCTCGGTCACTTCGTGTCTCACACATACGTCGTTTTTGTGAACCTTACCCATTAAGGGAAGATGACAAGTGACAGTAGCAAGAAAGCTCCCCATCTTCTGGGCTAAAATCCCTGTTCATCTAGCCTGCTTCTTTTTTTAATCAGCACTGTTTCGAGTTGAAGGCATACTGGAAATCGATGAGATATCTCGTCTTCAACAAGTTTCTAGATAACTCATATCTGCAGATTGTTATATCTGTCCTCTCCAGGGTTTTCTGCACTTGCGAAAGGGTTGTAAGACTTAAAAACTCTCTAAGATTTTTATGGGGAATGGCGGCATCCCAAGCTGTTTCACGTTTTTCAAATGGAATGCTGACAGTTCAAAATAATTTACTTCCTTTTTTGTTTATTAATCTATTTACGTTCGTGAATTCTACGATTCTCAGATTCTCCTCCACCATAGACAGCAATTTCTTCCTCTGCTTTTCTTCATCTTTTTTTTTATTGTATCCCATGTTAAGCCATTCCTCCCTCCCCCTCTCTCTTTCTGCATACAGTGCAATGGATAAATTGTCGCTGGAAAAACAAGATAAGAACACCACACCAGATATGGCAACAATTTTCAGTGCACCGATCAACGCAGTTACAACTATTTCAACAGTAAAAGGGTGGGACCTAAATGCCAATCTTGCAGCACGTTTAAATTCATGTAGTCGGAGCACCAGAGAAATAAAAAAAAAGCCCATCAGAGCAGTTGTCATGAAAATATTTATAAAAAAAGACACAGAGAAGGAACAAAAGGAATGTGCCAATATGCCGACATTTCAAAATAATTTAATTCCTTTTGGCTATTAATCCATGTTCTTGAATTCCACCATCCTCAGCTTCTCCGTCTTCCACACATAGTAATTTCTTCCTCTGCTTTTCTCCATCTTTTTTTTTTATCATATCCCATTCTAATACTGGCTTGGTTTCTTTTTTGAATTCCCGTATTTGTTTTGGTAACATTGTGTTATTTCTGCATCTTTTATATTTGAATGATAGCAAATGATTTGCATATCTTTCTTTAGGTTCATTCACAATTGCTCCAATGTCAATCCTCTCTTTCTCTTTCTCTATCTGTTTCTCTCTCTCTTTCTCTTTACATGTGTGCCCTTGGGTTTGTGTGTGTGTCTGTGTGCGAGTCAGTGTTGTGAATAAATAAATGTTTCAGTTATTACAAAGTGCATTCCAGAAGTTTTGAGACTTTCTCAAGAGAGTCTTTTATTAATATCAAGCAAGTACACACCTATAATTTTCTTGAGCGTAGAATCCTCTGACACCAGTGCATTTACTGTATCCCTCCAGCCACTTCTTGAATACCCCATTGAAGTCATTCAAAGTTAGGGTGTCCAGGACCCTTGTCACAGCCTCCATCACGATCTCAATATCCTCAAAACGACCGAGGTTCTCCTTCAGCTTGGGAAACAACCAAAAATCACTGTCAGCAATGACTGGACTGTAAGGAGGCTGCGGGACAGTTTTTATGCCTATCACCCATCTCCCTGTGGTCACCAAGTCATTTTTCCTGCTGAGCACCCTGGGAGCAAACTTTGCACACATTTTGCGCTTGCGGAGATCGCTTCATGAATAATTATGTGTACAGTTGCAGCACTGTAGATGTAAAGATGACTTACTTCGTGTGGCAAAACGAGCACGTATAGTTATTTTCCAAGCGTAGCTTAGATGTGGCAGAAGGCCGAAAGTAGGGGGTACCTAGTGAGGATCGAACTCACTTTTCTGTTGTAACTGATCTAGCGAGACAGACTTGCTAACCATTACACCACGCCGAGGTGCCCAAAGCGAGCACGTATATGCCTGACGTGTAAAACAAGTGAAGAAATAAGGCCTCCCTAACACCTTAATTTAAGAAAAACACGGTCTCAGAGCCAGGAGAATTAGCCAGAGTGGTTGGGCGTATGAAAATGTTTTGCGGGATCAGCTCGGCATAAAAACACCACCCGAGTGAGAATAGACAGTTCGATAGTGAACGTGTTACCCGCTTGTACGTAAGAGACTTTGTCAGTTGGACAGAGATTACTTGGAGCAGTTTCACACACACACCAACTCCAAATTGTATCCTTATAGTCAGTCTTTATACATGTTCTGACGTCTTGCTCACCCCCACATATCTCACCTCTTCTTTACCGTCCTAGAAACTCTTGTGGCTGCGTATGTAAGATGCTAGGCGCATACAAGTTAATCCATCATCAGTCTGGAGCATTTTATAATCTTGTGCAGCGTTTTTGCTTAGTTTAACCCAAAACCTTATTGCATAGCGAGCTTCAAAATTGTCTTCACGCGCCGATTGCATTCGAGAAAACTAGTCAACTGTGATAAGCAGTGTTTAGCAGGGTTACAGCCGTCTCCTTCAATCTGGAATAACAAAAGTTGATCAGCATCGTAATGATAGACTAAAACACAATAAGGTAGGACAGTTATATCTCAGTCAGTTATATTATATTTCGATACATGACTGACGAGGCAGATTTTGTGCCATGCGTGATACACGCTTAGGCGATCATGTATCTTTCGGTACATGACTGACGAGGTAGATTTTTTCCCGTAGTAGGTTACCATTTCTTTCTGCGGTAGACCAATTGCCATCCAAGGCTATAGAACCCGGTCTGTCCTGCTATTTACCCATAGCTGGGGGGGGGGAAGAAAAGGATTCATACTTTTCCCAAGGGTATTATTAGCACGTAACAGAATATCAGGAAATTATGTGTCATGCCTGATACATCCTTAGGCGATCATGTATCTTTCGATACATAACTGACGAGGCAAATTTCTTTCCCGCACTAGGTTGCCATTTCTTTCTGCGGTAGACCAGTTGCCGTCCAAGGCTATATAACCCGGTCTGTCCTGCTATTTACCTATAGCGAGGGGGAGTTGAAGAAGTGTCATACTTTTCCCAAGATATTAGCACGTAAGTGAATATCAGTTCAGTTATGTGCCATGCGTGATACACGTTTAGGCGATCTTGTATCTTTCGGTACATGACTGACGAGGCAGATTTTTTTTCCTGCAGTAGGTTACCATTTCTTTCTGCATTAAACCAGTTGCCATCCAAGGCTATAGAACCCGTCTGTCTGGGAGAAGAAGAGGATTCATACCTTTCCCAAGGTTATATGCACGAAATTTTAAAATACACACGTATGTCTGGTTAACACTGGAATAAAAATGATAGTTACATGTTCTGTTTTCAAGTAAACGTGGGTTTGGTAGGAACGAAATTTTAAAATGTTGATGTATATCCAGTTTACAGTAGAATAAAAAAGGTCGATATAGGTCCATTTTTCAGATAAAATTTGGCCCGGTTTGCACGAAATTTTAAAATGTCCGGTTTACACGAGTATAAAAAAAATTGGGTCCGGTTTGCACGAAATTTTGAAATGTCCGTTTTACACTGGTATAAAAATGATAGTTACAGGTCTAGTTTTCAGGTATCCTTGGGTCTGGTTTGAAGGAAATTTTAAAATGTAGACGTCGATCAGGTTTACAGTAGAATAAAAAAGTTCGATATCGGTCCATTTTTCAGGTAAAACTGGGTCCGGTTTGCACGATAAAAAAAAAAAAGAAAGAAACGTAGACATACTTTCAGTTTACACCAGAATCAAATAATGTGTGTCGAGAAGTCGGCCTATTCTAAGTTTCGCTGACAGGGCATCTGTACAGTTAATATTTGCGGCAACTTCAAGCTAATCAAATAGATCGCTTCACACCTATTGTAGGTTCGACCTATTGTAGACGCTCAAATACGATTGTCTTGTGCCATACTACTACGTTACGGAAAAAATAACCGTATTCAAGCGACCATACGCGAGCAGCGAGCAGAAAAAGAATTCCACTGATGGAGGGGCATATCTGTAAAATTGGGCTTTAATCCGACTGCAAACGTCGAGACGATATTTTTTGGCGGAGAAATCTAATACTTAGCCTCGTGCATACCAACAGAACTATTTACGTACATCAATAAAAGTTTCACCTTCCGAAATAGAAATATAACCTTTACACTGCGTTGGCATAGATGTTCAACACGGTGCGTCCAACGCAAGTCTAAGTGTGCGTCTGCAACAGATTTCCAAAAAATAAAAAAAAAAAAAAAATAAAAAATAAGAAAGAAAAAAAGGAAAGAAAAAAACACAAAAAATGAATCTTCTTTGAAAATCGACACTTGTAAGGAATAGTCAAAATATAGGGTACTTCCACATATACACACACGCAGACACACGCACACACCCATACACAGACAGACACACGCATATATATATATATATATATATATATATATATATATATATATATATATATATATATATATAGCTTGTGCGTATATGAAATAAGCCTGGAAAGCATTAGAAAGTTAACTAACATCTACTGGCTGACGACAGCTTAATGTTTGAAACCATGGTAACGCGTGTGCTTCCTCAATCTTTGATATTTAACACACACACACACACACACACACACATATATATATATATATATAGGCAGGATATCTTCATTCAAGCATGTTTGGTTGAATAATATATATACATATATGTAATGCACACACACACACACATATATATATATGTAATATATATATATATATATATATATATATATATATATATATATATATATATATATATATTTTTTCCTCATACCATTCATCATTTCATTTTTTATGTTTTAATTGTATGTAGGGTGTTTGTGTGAGTCAATATATATTGCAATAATTGTTAAATTGTTCCCAGTCGACCCTGATGAGCTTGGGAACGAAACCGGTTGGTCTGTTCTGTAAGTTTTATCATCTCTTACCTTTTTATTTTTCATCATGCCTTTAGGAAATAATTTGTATCTATTCCTTGCATTAAATATTACGGTTTTGTACCTCCAATAATATATATATATATATATATATATATATATATATATATATATATATATATATATATTGTTTTATAGTTTCAATTCTCGGGCATGGATGCGCACTGCTGATGAGTCCCAAATATAGGACGAAACGGCCGTCCAGTGCTTTCTGCATTCTGTTGAGGTTTCTTCTAGACTCGATGATTTAAATATTAAATATATATATATATATATATATATATATATATGTGTGTGTGTGTGTGTGTGTGGGTGTGTAATACATAAAAGGTTAATGGTTGAATCAGACCAGGAAACAGTAGTATTAATAAGTGCTCAATATACGTGGGAAAAAAAATCAAATAAAAGTAGAAATAACATGTAGATCTTTAAGCTTTAAAAAATCAGGAGGTCAGTTAAATCTGCTACCTCGGTTTCAACCTTACGGCATCCTCTGGCGATTTTTATTAAAGGACCTCTTAACGCTTTACTTTTTTTAAAAAAAAAATAACAACTTAGGAACGCTGCATTATTACTTTCAAAAATAAATGAAACAAACACACAAAGTGATGTGAAGAAGGAAGGAGAACAACAACAAGGTGGGAGGACGTAAGAAAAGCAAGGGTATATATATATATATATATATATATATATCTGAGTTAACATGATTATTTACATTATTCGGACTGTTATCCTTATCTTCGTTGTCATGTTCATTACGTTTCAGCCGTTGTACTCTCCGGCCTTCTTCAGATGGTTGTTAGTTTTCAAGGGTCTGTGTGCCGCACTACGAGTCGCTTTCTAGTAGATATAATCGATCGATTAATAATTAAGTCACCATCGTATGCCCGGGACTCCGCCCACTTCGTGGAAATAACCAAAGATGCTCCCATCCAATCTAACCAGATGGTGAGATTGGGTGTCGTGAATTTGTTCACCAAGGTACCCACGGAGCAGGTACTCTCGGTAGTCAGGGACAAACTGATCTCGCATTCACCCCTAGGAGAACGGACCAGTATACCAATAGATAATCTGATGGAGATGCCGTCTTTATGTACCCAAACAACACACTTTTAAATGGAATCAGACATATATCGAGAGGATGATGGTTTAGCAATGGGCTCGCTATTATCACCAGCAATGGCAAACGTATATATGGAATACTTCGAAAAAATGGCATTAGAATCCACATCACTAAAGCCAACCCTATGGCTGAAATACGTAAATGACAACTTCATACTCTGGCCCTACCAGGAGGAGGTACAGCTACTACTGGACCATGTGAACTCAATAAAATCATCGATACAGTTTACTATGGAAAGAGAAAATGACAACAATCTCGCCTTCCCAGAACATGGATTCAAGGGAGATTAAAGGAAGTGGGGAAAAAAAACCTTATGAGTACTAAATATTGTCTAGGTTAAGCAGTAATCTCCCCGAATAGAACCAACCTGAATTTCATCTTCCTCTGTCGACACAGGATAGGACGTTGCATACGAATAATAATAGACTCCAAGATATCTAAATAGAGCCTCATCCTAGCCCTGCGTATGACAGAAAAGAAATCGGGAGAATAATTCGTCCTGCAATCGACAGAATTTAAAAGGTGTTCACCAATAGCTGACTCATGAGTCTGCGAACACCCGGATGTAATTGGTTCGTGCCTACGCACTTTACCCGGAATATGCTGGGCGATCCTCACCTCTAACCATTGGATGGTCTTGCCCACATAGTCGATCTTACACCGACATTTGTATTGATATATAATTAAACTTTGTTGAATGGTAGGCAAGACATCCTTACGGTGATGGGGGGAGCATTTTTTGTACTGAAAATATTTCGAACAGTAACAGCATTGAAACACCGATTAATTGAATTATTAATATATATATATATATATATATATATATATATATATATACAAAGAAATAATCACACATAGAATCAATCAGCAATATTAATGCTATTATTGGCGATATCCATCGCTAGTAGTGTATAATGTATTCATTAAAATACTGTTAATCCATAGAATGATGTGATCTTCATTTATAAAACTGTTGTCTGTTGTTTCCAGTTTAGATTTTTTTTAAAATGCAAGTACTTTCGAATAATCCTTTATTCAACGTCGGGCATATCTTTTCCTTATAAAATCAAAACTAGGAGACGAAATAATTGTTTGTAGACCGAAAGATGTTTTTTGAGAATGTGCTATTATTGACGGTTTTGTACAATATCGAACGTGCAAAGACGCAACGCTAAGTTTTCAAAATTTTTAAGTGAGAATTTTATTTGAACTTTTCTTGTGATGTGGTAAATCAACGTATTCTATTTTTTCAAGTGTTTTCAGTTAATATGTCATGAACTAAGTATATAGTTCAATTAATATAGTGGTATGTCTTACTACTAGTTTTTTTTTATAGGAATTTTTTTGTACTGCGGATCGATATTGCTGATTGATTCTATGTGTGATTATTTCTTGTATATAAATTATATGCTGCCTAATGTTTTATGTTTATAAAAACTATCATTAACTATAAATTATATGCTGCCTAATATTATATATATATATATATATATATATATATATATATGTGTGTGTGTGTGTGTGTGTGTGTGTGTGTGATAAATACAATTATAAAATTTGTCACTTAGCTGATTGATATTATATTCAGCTCCCAGACCCAATTACTTTGCAGACAAACAATTTTGCAATCGTTCGCTCCACTTCGTCAGGAGGTATCTGCAATTGGCTGCAGATCCTCTTATTTTGGTTATTTTTATTGTTTCGTTATATTTTTTATATATATATATATATATATATATATATATATATATATATATAATAAAAAATATGGTTTTAAGTTATACTATATTTATAGGTTAAAGTGATCAATATCAAAGACAGAGATTATGTAAATATAAAAGTAGACATTGAGGTTAACAACCAGTGACGACAATCTGTTTCATATTTAGACGCAATCTTCAGGTCTGTCGCCGGTGGGTTTTGACCACGATGTCCACTTATATTCACACACACACACACACACACACACACACACACACACACACACACACACACACACATATATATATATATATATATATATACAAACACATATATATAGCCAGGATATCTTCATTCGAGCATGTTTGGTTTAATAACCTAGACATATATTGTCTATTTATTTCATTTTAACCCTCTCAAATTCACAGATCAATTTCTTAGTGCTGTTACAAAACTGATTACGAAAGTCGCCGTAGTTTTGCTTATTTCTTTTATTTTCTCAAGTACTTTCAATCTCATCCAAGATCATCTTCAGTGGTGAATTGCTAAGACAAAAATTATCGTAAATGTTAGTTGCGGATAAACGCACGCCGTTATAATCCGTTTACGTTAAGAGTATGTAAGGGAGGTAATTCACTTTGAAATCTTTTTATTATTAATGTTTTAAAAATACTGAACCTGAAACTTTTTCGAAAAAAAAAATTCTTCATTTTACAATTTGAGCACTCTAAAACAATTGGTTTTATAGACATTTTAAAACATTGTTGTTATACATATAATTAACGTTATTTATTGTTGGTTTCATTTTTTTATATAGAAGTCTAGGCTTCCAGAATTTGAAGTTTTTGTTTTTTATACTCCGTGGATTATACATTTATTGTCGATTAATATTTCTCTAAAATGTCGACGCTATCAAGAAGGCCTACTTTGCAGATGTTGGATTCAAGCTCCATTGCTCAATATTTAAAAGAACATTCCTGTCTACATTCACCATACTCCAGGACTTGGTAAAATGGCTGCCAAACTAGTCTCGCTAGATCAATTTATGATTGAATAGTGAGTCCATAGCAGGGGGGGGGGCTCAAACTTTCGGTTTTGTGCCATATCAAAGGTACGCTTAGAAAATCACTACATTAAGTCTAAAAAAAAACATGTTTTCATGCCAAAAAATACAAGAAAAAACTAAACAAATATTATTTCACATTTTATTTGATCAAGCATATATAGAAGAAGAATTGCTGCCTAAATACACAACTATATATATGCAATCGTCAGATGGCTTGACAGCTGCGTTTAAGCATGTGATAGACTGTCGCTACTGGATATTATCGTCAATGTCCACTTTTGTATTTACATAAGCTCTATTCCTAATGTCGGGCACTTTAACTCATAAATATAGCATACCTTAACTTCTAACGAAAGCAAATTCATAAATATTTCTGTCGGATACATAAGTATACGCCTGTTAAAGCAGCTGACCAGGGTTCCATACAGAAACATTTAAGCCAGCATGAAATTGTAGCAAACTCAATATGCAGGATACTTGTTACAGACACATGTGATGCTCGTCTTTCACTTCAAAAAGCAAATAATGGAAACTCTTATTATTAAATACAAAAAACACACACACACACTAACGAAGAATCGATAACATCAATGATGAACACGGCCACAGTATATTGGCCGTATTCGGGATTAAATATATATATAATTTTCAGAAACATTTAGACTGTCCATAATAGCGCTTATACACCATTTGTTATTGCAGTACAACTAAAATCCATTAAAATAAATAATAGTTTAGCCGACAGCGCTCGGGATTAACAAATATTTAGACATTTTCTACACATACTAAGTCTAGAAAGGGAACTTCAACGTGGTATAATGATTAGCAAGCTTATCTCTCCCCCCATCTCTCTCTCTCTCTATATATATATATATATATATACACATATATAGATAGATAGATAGATAGATAGATAGATAGATAGATAGATAGATGGATGGATGGATGGATAGATAGGGAGATAGATAGATAGATATAATCGTCAGATAGCCTACCGATTGCGTTTAAGAATGGATGTCCACTTTTATATTTCACATAAGCACTACCGCTAAACCCCGAAACATGTAAACAATAGACCTAATGTAGGGCACGCCCAAACCCACACCCCACATGCGCATTAATTAAAAAGAAATTATTTAAACAAGAAAAAAAAAATATATATATATAAACGGAATACACCCATATTTAAAAATTTTAGAAAACCACAGAATATTCTGGAATGTTAGCCTAATTTGAAGTTGTCACTGAACCCCGGAAAAAATAATTTTGTTACGTCACCTTTTAACATCCAGAGACGAAAGATGAAGAAAAGAAAGAAAAGGCAACACGGGAGAAGATTATGGGAGAACTAAATAATGAAAAGAAGAAATAAGCACGACATCCTACATATGTGCACATATGCACACGTACAGGCGTATAAACAGTCGCATTGGGCATGCGCAGACACGCGCATGCGTACATTACACACGCATACAAAGAAAAAATATCAACATCAATAAAAATGCGCATAACTTATTTTTTAATTATTAAAATTGACAGACATTTGCTGATATCTCCGAACAAGTGTGCGGAATAATTATACAAAGATTTGTCCACGAAACACCGTAGAGTTGCTGGCTATAACATCAATCAACTAAGGACACACATTTTATATTTGCATTAATCTTATATATATATATATATATATATATATATATATATATATATAAATAATTTAAACACTAATATTCCATGGTGATATTTTTTATCCCATTGAATCGTAAATCGATTCAATTCATCAGACCTACAAATTCAAAAGGGTAGGTCTGATGATTTGGATCGTATTTACGATTCCAATGGAATAAATTATGACCATGGAATATTAGTGTTTAAGCCTTTTTATTATATCCTTACTCTGTCCTGACATTGAGTTCTACCTGATTCTTCCTCTTGAATTTTTATTAAAAAATATACATGTATGGATATTTATATATTTTGCATATGTATGTATATTTACCACTAATATTATCTATCTATCTATCTATCTATCTATCTATCTATTATCTATATATATATATATATATATATATATATATATATGAAAAGTGTATATAAATATAAATATATATATATGTATAATTATTTATATATTATATGCATGGTACTTATTAGAAAGCACTCAATATCAGAGATAGAGCTAACATATGTGTTGGATAGATGTGAGTTTAGATCCTGGGTTTCACGCTTTAGCGATCGTCAGCGTGAAACCCAAGGTCACAAAACTCACATCTATCCAACCAAATATATATATATATATATATATATATATATATATATATATATATATATTGGGAGTTGCAGTAATTTGACTGATTTTAAGTTCAAGTGTCTAAGGACATTTGAGCGATATTATTTTTCACACATAATTGCCATGACTTAAATAACATAATCCAATAGAGAGATAATTTTTCACCAATAAGACAAATTTACTTACTGATGGCTTATATCGGTCTTAATGAAACAGCCTGATATTTAATTCGTCTTAATGAAATATCCTTTAGTTATCCACAGACAGACTGTTTTCCTTGAATCAGTGTGGCTAGACGTTCGATTGCTTCAAGCCGGAATCGAATCTCAACCGATTTGGCCTCAGTCAGAGATCCTAGCCCTAAGCCGTCGGCGCACGACAGAAAGAAAGGTAAATGCCATCGTTTTTCTATACGAAATACGACAGTGGCTAAGAGAACTTAATTCGTACTTGAAGAGTAATATTTATTATATATATATATATATATATATATATATATATATATATATGTGTGTGTTTGTGTGTGTATATATATATATATATATATATATATATATATATATATATATAAGCAAATATATATATAGATCCGACAGTATGAAGAAAAATATAATTAACATTGTATTGTCATGTTGAATTGATAATGTTAATTATATTTTATGAATATGTCCTAAAGATGGTTTATTAGACCGAAACGTCCGACGTTGACATATTAACATTAAAACAGCATAATTGCATATAAGGATTTTTGTTTGTTTTTTCCGTATATTTTTCTTCATATATATATATATATATATATATATATATATATATATTGTGATTGATGTAAATTTGTCATATTCAGTTGGATTGATTGCAAACACATTTTACATCTAAATATATAGTATACTATAAATATATATATATATATATATATATATATATATAGTTGGATTGATGTGAGTTTGTTATATTTAGTTGGATTGATTGCATACATATTTTACATGTGTGTGTGTGTATATATATATATAAAGTATAATATGTATTCGTACTTGGAGAGTAATATATATTATATATATATATATATATATGTATATATATATATATATATATATATCAGTTCAATTCATATTACAATGAATCATTCATACAAAAAGTAGATTAGCAAAGTTAATGATATAAAATGGCGAAATCCCTTCGCTAACAAAATTTTACAGTTGCATTAACCTACAAATCACTCGCTGAATGTTATGATCCTTGTTTTTAAAAATTATAAGATGTATAAATTCTTTCTTAAATACGCAAGTACTTTCGACTGTATATTCAGTCATCTTCAGGCATGGAAATTATTTTCTTTTTGGTAAAATTCAGGTAGCATCCGAGACGAAAATATATAATGCGAATCGAAAACGAAATGTCTCTCTTTCCCTCTATTCGACCCGTGAGTATCAGATTCTCCAGGCCCTCCTTTCTCATGTGTCCAAGAAACTTCAGCTTCCTCTTCCTGATGTTAAATATAAGCCTCCTCCATATTTGCCACCTCTCTAAGACCTCACTGTTGCTCACATTCTCAGTCTATGATATCCTCACTATCCTTCTGTAGAACCACATCTCTGTCGCCTCGAGTTTTTTTATTATCTTTGAGCAAATTACTTTATAACGATAGAAGTGACTTAAAATTAAAGGCAAACATATTTGAATCTTTCACTGTGGCAAAAAGTCTTTTACAAGTTTTTCTAGCGTATTTGTTGATGACAGGTTTTCTTTTCAAGCACAAACAGTAAACAGCAATCAGCCTTGGTTACATTTCCTCTATATTTTTGATATCTTTTTGGAAATTCACCTCTTCTTACATCACCTAAATTTCTTTTTATGTGCCATGTCCCTTCAGGACGTAGGCGATCATGTCTCTCCACCTCCTCCTATCCCTTGCAGCTCTCAACAAGTTCTTTCCCTCCGCTTCCCTCTCCCCCAGACCACGTTCTGTCATCCACTTGCTTAAGTCCGCCAGGTATGTCACGCTTTGTTTTCCCTTGTCTCTCTTTTTCTCTATTCGACCTGTGAGTATCAGATTCTCCAAGCTCTTCTTCCTCATTATGTGTCTGAGAAACTTCAGTTGCCACTTCTTGATGTTAAGTATAAACCTACTCCTTGTTTGTATCTTCATCTTTGAGGAAATCGTCCAACATTCTCTGCATGAAGAAGAACAGATGTCACGTAACAGTTCAGTATTCTTTTCTTTGTTACCAAAGAAATCCCCTGTCTCGTAATACTCTTCACAGATTTTGGAATGTGTCCTTGGCCATCCCAATATGTTTGGTCCATGATATTCTTAGCATCCTTCTGTAGAACCACATCTCCGTCGCCTCGAGTCTCTTCTTTATCTCTGAGGAAATCATCCAACATTCCCTGCCGTAAAGAAGGACATATGTCACGTAACAGCTCACTATTCTTTTCTTTGTCACCAAAGAAATCCTCCTGTCTCGCAATACTCTGCCAACCTTTTGGAATGTGTCTTTGGCCATCCCAATATGTCTACGGATCTGCTTTTCCTTAAAGAACTGATAAATGTAAAACAGACGCTAGTTAACAATGGTTTTCCTAACTACCTCATCGACCACCAGATTAAACTATTTCCTTCCAAAGTAACTAATAAAGATACAGAACATACAGTCAAAAAGACTAACATCAACATCTTCTACAAAAGACAAATACACGTCAACTATAAGCAAGACGAATTTTCACTTAGAAATATCATAAAGAAATATACAACCCCAATCGACCCTAACAAGAAAATTAAATTAATAATCTTTTTAACAAAAATTAAAACAGCTCACCTTATCATCAAAAATAACAACACACCTGCAAAATTAAAACTACAAAGAACGTATATTATTAACAAATTAAAATGCCCCTTAAGAAACTGTATTCCCCTTCAAAGCAAACTCATAAATAATTACATTGGTAACTCTACTACATGCCTATTCCGACGACTTACGTTACACATACCCGACCATAGCTCCGTTAGGATTCATTTAAACACACACAAAAACCTGCCATCCGAAACATACTAGTAGAAAATACAAGCATAAACCTCATCCACATTTAAAAAAAGATTAAAAATAATGATAACTAATGATAAAAAAGAAAAAGCCATCACACAATAACATTAAAAATGAACATGGTCACAATGTGCTGACTGTGTTTGTAAAATAAAACATATAACTTTAGATACATATATAGCACAACCCATACATTCAGTTAAAAGTGAAAATCAAATCATTCTTGATAATGGCTAAAAATATAGCCGAAGGCGCCTGGAAATGCAAAACATTTGGACAGTTTTTACACACTATGTGTTCTGAAAAGAAAACACTCATATGAACAGAAGAATAATTAAATAGAAATTTTAATCTCATTAGATTCGCAGTCGTCTTTAACGAACGATATATATATATATATATATATATATATATATATATATATATATATATATATATACCCAACTATACGATTGGTATATACAGAATAAATTCCAATAACCAACAAATACTATTCTTAAAAGAGTGCTCAATACAGACTAGAGCAAATAGTAATTTATTCAAAAATTATAAATATACTTATGTTATAATTTTCGAATAAATAAATAATTATATATATATATATATATATATATATATATATATATATATATATATATATATATATATATATATAGTTGTAGA